TCGATGGTATCGAAAGCCGCTGAGAGGTCCAGGAGAACTAGGATGGAAGCATGGCCTTCCATCCTTTACCCATAACTCACAATTTTTTCAGTGCGTTCAGAGGATTCTTCGTTTTCTTATCCCCAAATAGTAGCTACCAACTATGAAGTGACTTTGATTTTCTACAAAAGCACCTAACAGAGAATGGACAGATATAGTACCAACTTTGGTTGGAAAGAAGTCAGGGATGATCAGTCTCCATCCCATATCATAAAAAGTATACCTCAATAATTATTTGCAAAATATTTCAGAGAAGCCAATTGCAGATTAAGAGGCATATAGTGGTACAGTCTTTATTGTTATTGTACATAATGTATACAATGATATTGGTAATCAACAGACACATGGAGATAAACCATATTTACACAGCATTCAAAAGGGAGAATAAAAAGCTACAGAAACAGAAAGACTTTCTCTTCAGCAGCCAACACCCAGATAAGTGAGGATTAACACCAGACAAACAATCAAACAGAAAACAATATTCCAATCAAAGAACTACCCAGGAAAACACACATCCCCACCAATACTGACAGGGCAAGCTATTGTGTACAAACAGGGAACACATTTCACACTTACTAGTACTGAAGATGTTATCTAGTTGGATAATGAATAATGAAAAGTCTGCAAGCAAATAATCAAACTTAGAGAGCACCAAGGACTCCACAATATATTTATAGTTGATGGACTGTACTGCCCAGCTGATTTCACCAGCAAAGTACACATTAGCTTGTAGAGCATTATAAACATGTTTCAACTCATTTTGCCAGCAGCTATGCTGGCATCTTCAAAGACAGAATTTCATTTTTTTTTTAAATAGACTAATTTGAAATCTACTCAGATGAAGAACCAATCAGGAATCAGCTTTCTTGAACTCTTGTATCATCGGCCAATCAGAAGTCGGATTGCCAGGTTATAATACTATAATTCAGGGAGTTCCTGTTCAGTAGTCTGAGAATTGCCAAGTACACTACGAACTGGCTCATTCTGCGTCTGAAAATCCTGGCAGATACCAGAAAACTGTTCCACTACCTTTCAGCTAGAAAGATCATCACTGCTTGATGGATACCAGCCATAAAAGCCTGCTCCAGGGTATGAGAGACTCTAGTTGTTGATGATCTGAAGGAGGGATTCAGCCTTTCTTAGTAATCCAAGGTTGATTAATATACTTCTCTCAGTTCACAGTATTCTTAATAAAAATCTTTATATCATATATAGTTTGAAAGTGCCTTCTTTCTCTCCAAGTTTTATTCCCTTACTTTAACAATGGAAAGGCCATCAAGTTAACTATTGTCTTCTTTAATCCCTCTCCTCCCTTGTTCTCGTTTAAGCTGTCATTGCCTTCATTCCTAGAATTAATAACCTCTTTTCTTCTCTATTATACTGTTCAGAGCCTCTATTACTAAGCCCAAGAAAACAAGATCTGTTTACCACTTTCCTATCTTAGCCTTTAAGCAGCATTCAGGCTAACATTCTATTCCATTTTCTTAACCTTTTTTTTTAACTTTCTAATTCAGCTGAGCAGTAGATATATATGACATACTGGAGGCCAGTTTCAATATCAGGGCAAAGAATTAGCAAGTTAAGGGCAGTCAGATAGGTATCTAGCTACTCCTAGGTTTTTTCTTACAGCCAAAGAGATAGAATTAATGGAGGAAGGATCAGGAAAGTTTGCTGAATGAAGTTTGAAAGCCAAACCAGGAGGTTTTAGTTTGGTGGAAGAATAGCAAACAGAGCTATATAAACAGTAATTTACTGCAAATTGCTATCAGGCACTTCCAATATCATCACATGCAGAAAAAGTGGGAATGGAAACAAAGGAAGCTCTACTTACCCATATATCACCTAAAAGCAATTTAAGCATATAAAGGAAACCTAAGAAAATAAAAATTGATATTATGTGGCGGCAGCTTAGCACTTTCTTGGGAAATGTGCCAATCTGCCCACAAAATAATAAAAGGAAACTGAGGGATCTTTAGGAAGCTACAACCAATAAGTTTGGCAAACTGGTCATTCTCTACGAATGCCTACGGCCTGTTCTCAAAATATATCCACCAGCCCAAAAGGTTGGTGAATCATCCTATTTCCTGTTCCTATAACTCCAACACATTTCTACTCACAAATATATTCTGTCCTATTTCCAAGTTAATTTGCATTTTTATTATCCACCTTTTTATTATCCACAATGTGTACTAATTAAATGCGTACATTTTACTATGCATTTTCTCCTAAGCCCACTAAAGATATTTTTTCCCAAGATACGCACGTTTTTGAACTCGGAAAAACTGAGAGGAAAGAGATTTGAACCAAGAAATATATCAGAACATTTGGGAACTGAAGACGTAAAACAAATCTTTTTAATTGAGTTCTTTAATTCCATCCGATTTATTTATAGAAAGAAAACAAACCATTTGGCCTAAGAATAAACCAATTTGATTCCCAAACAACGCATTTCAAACATAATAGAGCTGCATACTCACTCATTTTTCTTCCCTTCTTGTGCTCTGTTTGCATGCTATAATTCAGATTATGCTGTTCCTATTAACTTTAGCAACAAATTATGTAGTTTAATGCCCCTCCGAGCCAATGGATTTCAAAGTTTGCTACTTCATGACTACATTTCTCTCATTCACGATGTGCATCATACTTTATCCTTGAAGACACCTGCCTCAATATAGATGAAAATATTTTTTTCATAGGAAAAGACAGCCTCCTAAATGATCCATGTTCTCCGAGGCACTTCACCCAAATTGGAACCAATTGGTGAAAGTTATTTTTCCCTCACTTGTTTGGTTTTGCTGGAGGGGAGGGGAGGAAAGACCTGAAGCTTAGGGATGGAAAAATGCATTGCAGAAAAGCAGAACAGATTAACAGAGTTGCAAGGGACCTTGTAGGTCATCTAGTCCAACCCCCTGCCCAAGCAGGAGACCCTACATCTGTCTCTACCTAGGATTGAACTCACAACACACACAAGACATTTCTATGAAAAAGAGTTTTAGGCAAAAGGTCGACATGAACCACCCAGATGTTTGAGGGTGCTAGGAATTGTAGTCCAACAACATCTGGAGGACCACAAATTCCCTATCACTTGGAGCAACTCTTGTCAGGCAGAGTAGATAACCCTTTCAGTAAAACTTGATTTAGACTTGCCTGCCACTATGTGTAGGCAACGATGCATACCTATGTTGTGAATGAGTTGATGGATATGCATAAGTTGCAGATGGTGGCAGATGGGCTGCTGCACATGCCTCCCAAATCTCAATTATGCATTGTGTGGAGGTGCACGGCCTGCATGCTGATTGGTAGATCTGATTTTCTGTTGGGAAGTGGATGGAAAGTAAAGCACATTCCAACGAGGTTTAACATTGGCAGAAGTATAAAGACAACAACTATGCAACTCTATCAGAACAACAGATGCATAAGTCCCCTGATGTGCAATGACGCAGAAGTGTAACCCAAGCTTAAGCAATTATAGTGCTATTTTTGTTATTGTAGCAATCACCCAGAACAAAAGAGAAACCTTGCTGTGAGCTTAGGAATTTATATGTTATCCACTAAATCCTGAATTGTTAACCAACAGCCAATCCAATATCCTAATCAGAAATATATGTATCTGTGTGAGTGTATAGTCCACTATCATAATTTGTACAGCTGAAACGTCCATAACATAGAATAATATATTATAGCATTATTATAGTAATCTAATCATGAACATTGAAGACATCACAATGGCTGATTGATCCAATGCATTCAAGCACTAGAATGCAAGAACAGGTGTAGCCTTTCCTGGTTCAGATGTAGAAGTGAAATAGACTTGGGTTTATCAGCATACAATTCAGTGGTGGGTTTCAATTTATTTTACTACTGATTCACTCATGCGTGCGCGCGCTCTTGCATAGAAGCATCTGGGCGGGTGGGCGAAGCCTCCTACCACCGCCACTACTGGTTCGCCCAATCCAGGGCGAACCGGCTGAAACCCACCTCTGATACAATTGACACAATACCTGAAAACTACCGTGTAGCCACTTCCAAAGGCCTCTTACAAATCAGAAGCAAGCAGCCATTTTGCGAGTAGACCCTGAAATTGTTTTGAAAAAAAAAATCATTTTTAGACAGCAGCAAAGATGTAATTCGGATGCACTGGAGTCACTGGAGGTGTGAGTGACAAAACCTGCTTTTCAGTCTTCTAAAAAACAACCATGCCATTAAATAGTGAGAGGGGTGAGGGAGCTTGATAATGATAGAAGCTTGAGGAATCTCCTAAAGGGCTTTGTGATGGACTGGAGAAGGTAAACCTCATCTGCCATCCTGTCACAAAGGGATATAAACTGTACTTGTGGCTGATAACCTCGGTTGGGGAAAGTAACAGATAAGAGGTTTCACTCATGGAATGGGAAAATGGAAATAGACATAGAAGCTGGCAATGATATATGGTAAAGTTGGAAGAAGGAAAAGGGAAAGAAATAGAATATATGGCTAGCAAGCAAATATGGAATTAAGTAATCCTGGACTGCTTAAGGTATTTAAATTCCAAGGGTGTTCAAAACTAGCAAAAAATAGGGGGGGGGGAATCAACAAGAACGCTGACAGCTTGAAGCAAATACCCAAAGGAAAAAGAGGAAGTGAAGGCACCAGAACAGAGACTCAAATGTTGCTAGCCATATGAGGTTGCCAGGTAAATATAACTGAAGGCCTTGATTAGCTCTTAGGAGAATTTAGTAACAACTTCATGTTTAGATAAGCCACACTGTCATTTTGGTAGAAATTGTGTTATTGCAAGGTAGTTAATCTCTGAACTATATAGTAGTTAAATCATAAAGTAATTTACTGCAAAATAAACCTGTCATAGCAGATAGAGGAGGGAGAAAGAGAAGTAGCTCAATTTATATAACTGACTGACTTGCTTAATTATCAAACTTTAAAAATCAACAGAGAGAAACTAGTAGTTTTTAGGCATGTTAAATATAAAGATAAAAATGAAGGAAAGAGCTTGTATGCGGTATTTTGTTTGATAAATCTTGAAAAGTCATGACAAAGTTAGAAACTGGATTCCTAAAAAGCATTAGGAACTCAACAGCGACATCCAATTTTGTGACACCCTACAATTTCTCTATGCATGGGGTGTGTGGAACAGTTCACTAGTCAATTAACAGAATGAAATATAAAAGAGAAAGAAAAACAGAGAGCAGTCCAAATATGAAGCAAGAAATAAGCTTTGCAACAATTAAACACCTGTAAAATCAATGAGGAATTTCAAGACTTTATGAACTCAGAGGACCAAAATCTTTTTCATCGTACATCTGAAGGATAAGATGTAAGAAACAAAATTAAGTTTCCTTTCAGATGGAATGCTATAATTAGATTGTTGGCTATGCCATTACACAAATATAATAATCTGATAGTCCAATTGACTAAAAAATATGGCGAACACAGTGTTCCTTAAATTCAGCAAAACATTTTACAAAGTTTCCCATAAGATTCTAATATTACAAAACAGTAAAATGTGGATTCACTTGTGCTTCTATTAGGTCTGTGATGGCATGCAGAGCCCTCTCTGTGGGCATGCGAGCCGTCGTCCCAGCTCAGCTCCACCGCGTATATGTGCCTGCCTCCTGCCAGCCAGCTGGTTTTCAGGTCTCTGCCACGCAGGCGCGGGCCCCCTGGAGGGATCGCACATGCATGAGCGGTGATCACACATGCATGTGTGGGGGAGGGGGGTCACATGCAGGGTTCATGTGTGCATGCATGGGGGAGGGGAGAGAGTGGGGGGTCATGCACGCATGTCGAGGGAGCACGCAGGGGGTTGTGCATGTATGCGCAGGAGGTGGGGCACATGGTGGTGGTGATGTCACACATGCATTGCATGATGGGTGTGTGTGCACATTTGGCATGCGACAATAAGGTTAGCTTTGGAGGATCGAGGCAGGAACGACGCGAGAGCCAGAACGTAACAATAACAACAGGAGTTTATTCAGAAGCAGGAGCTGACAGCGATTCAAATGTAACAATTCCGCGCCAAGGTATTTATACTTGCTAGTTAAAACAGGGGAACCAATGGGAGGTCTGGTAGTGTCTAGCAACTGCTGACGCAGTACCCTGGCTAATCAGGTTGGCTCGGCTGGCTAGCAACAGGCTATGCTGCGCCTCAGCCAATCAGGGCGCAGCCTAGACTGTTGCTGGCCTCCCGGTCGTAAGTGGAGGATTTTATGAATCCTCAACATTAGCCATCACTGTATTAGGTAGATACAATGCTACCGGTAGTTAAAGAAGCACATATTAAAATCTTATGGGAATTTTTGTAAAATGTTTTGGTGAATTTACATAACAAATATGTATCAGTAGTTTCAAATCAAGGCTACCCTTTAAAAATCCCAATTGGAATTTAAAGTGCTAACTAAATATAATATTCAATATTCTGCAGTATATCTATTCTCAAATTTGGTACCAAAACTTGCAATTCTTCATATATACCAAGGTACAATATTAATCTCTAGCATGGCATATTGGCTCTAGTGATTAAGGCACAAGGCCAGAAACCAGGAAACTGAACTGAAGCCATGAAAGCCAGCTGGGTAACCTTGGGCTAATCACTCTGTCAGCCCAATCCACCTCACAGGATTGCTGTTGAATGCAAGAAGGTATGTCAGAATGTTCCTCACCTTGGTTATTTGGGAAAATAATAAAGGTAGGATATAAACAAACAAACAAACACTCACAGAACCCTTGACCACTTCCAAATCCTAATATCTAAACTACAAATGGAACTATCCTGCCATAATTCTCCTGGGCTGATCATATAACCTTCTGGAAGCATAACCCCAATTTTTTGTTCCTTTACCCCATGAAGTGTATGTATGAAAAATTTGTATAAAATATATACATACATTTCACACAAATATATGTATGTAGAAATTAACATATTACTCCTCTAAGATCAAAGAATACTCATTACAGTACTTTGAAAGTGTTGTTTCCTGATAAATTGTTGACCCAAGGGAAAAAAATAACTAGATTAGTGTGGAAAATGCCAAAATAGAAACAATTAGAGAGCTTATTCTAGTTCTAATCAAATCTTATTGAACTTCCATTTAAGTTGTTAATTCCATCATTTTTCTATGAGGTTTACCATAATTCATGCAATCCTGCATCTATGATTCATATTCATCTATAATCTCAAGAAATTGACACAGTGCAATAGTGACCACCTGATCCATTCTCTCTACAAAATTGGAAGAAGTGATTGACTGGTGTTCTTTAATTAATTAATAAAATTATAGGGGTAGTCTGGGTGGAAGACAATTAATTCCAGTTTTATATTTAATCAATATCCTATGAAGTCTGCACTGAAAAACTTTCCTCCTGGAAATGTTGAATAGTTTGGTAACAATATTAGTAGAAGATAGAACAACCTTCCAGCCCAAGAGAAAGGATACCTCTCTCAAGTCTGTAGATTTTATTGTGCTGCCTATCTTACACAGCACTCAGGCTGATCAGCTTCCTCACAAATAAACTGTCTATTCCAGCTAATACAATGCAGGGGAAGGGGGGAGATCACCCAGGTTTGGCTAATGTTACAGAAATATATAGAAAGGTAGTCAGGTTTTATCCTCATGAAGTCTGAAATGTTTTTAACTATTTAACTTACTGTCTTTTATTCTCCATTCATTCTCTCCTTTTGAATTGGTAGCCTGTCAACAGCTGATCTAAAGCAGTAAATAAAGCTAAACCGAACTAAAAGAAAATCAAGTCACACATTTTCAGAAATAACAAAAATGGAATCTTCAAACTGATTTAAGTGTAACATTCAGTTCACTTTTTTTTTCAAACGCAGAAAAGTGCATCTAAAAAAAATATTGTTTGGTGCCATTCATTGTTAAAGTTTCCATTAATTTTACTTCAGAAAAAGTCCTTAGAAAAAGAACAGAACTGTCTCAACCAAACAGCAAGTGGAAATCTCAGGAACTAATTATTCTCCATAGTCAATTATCGAGACCCAAACTTCCAGAAATTAAATATAAGAACGGCTTTAATCATTTCCTCAAAGTGATTTCCAAACTCTTTCTGCCTATCCAAGCCTCATTATTTACAACAGAGTATAATAAAAGAAAAAAACAACTGCCAACAAGAACAATAAGCTTTTTTAAAAGCCTATTAGATGAGACAGCTGAACAACAAGGCGAATTGAAGGACAACTATCTGTCAACTGCGGTGCCCCAAATGTTATACACGTGGTGTGAACTGGTCAGTTCCTTAAAAACATAGCTTCATAGTGATATAAAAGATGTCTGTGAACAAATAAAATGGTTTTTTTTTACTAAATAAAACTACTGAGAACAGGCTTGGGAACACAAAAGTTTGCACAACACATATTTAGAAAGAAAATTGCTAAGACCCGTGTTATGTAGTTCTTGAAACATTTTGTTTTTTTAAATATCACTAGATAATACCAACAGATCCCAAATTGTATCCATATAATTTCTAGCTGCAATCACATTCAATTTAAAAAGAAAAATTAATAAATCTTTTTAGCTTTAAGAAAAAAAATTCTGAACTGCCATACCTTTGCTATTTCTTCCTGAGTGGCTACTAAATTCAAGTAAGATATATTAACCAGGTCAGGACCATACACAATTGTAAGCATTCGATTTTCCAGTCGTCCTCCTGCATTTCCTACATCCAGGTGTTCGCGTAGTTTTGGATCCTGGAAGTAAAAAAGACAACAAAATATTAAAGTTTACTTTCTGAAATTCAATTTCAAAATAAAGCTAAGGGTTTTAAGCAGCTACATTTCAAGATGAAACCATCCGGTATGGGATGCTTTCATTCTCTTTCTAAGTCAGAATACCCTGAATAATAATAATGCCCAGAATAAGCTATATCTTGAGCACATATATTTCCTAGTTGTAGGATTCAGGAAGCAGTATAGCTTGCAGTGTCTTTAGATTAGAGATTCTAGGCTGTATAGAACAGTGTGAGTATTCTTGTGATAAAATTGGGCTCTGTTGCACTTGTGGTGTACTGGCCATAATGTGCCAAAACTGAGCCTCACCATTAACAAGAAAGGGTCTTCATTTGGTTCAGTGGTTTTCTCTGTCTTCATCATATGAAAACCTCAGTTGCCAAAAGCCATGACGGGTCCATTATTCATGGTTACAGCACGACAGATGGTGTCTTGGAATGTTAAGAGGAGAATATGGAAATAAAATGAACTGAAATGAAGAAAAGGATTCTGCCTATTTGTGAAACCAAGACAGAGAGGAAGAGATGTAAGAACTTTGAATAAAAATGGCCTCATCTGGTAAAATGCAGCATTCAGCACTAAAATGTAGTGCTGAATGTTTAGATTTAATTATGGGTGAGAAGGGTCTCACGTCATGAACTAATGGTATCTAGATTGTTGTAGAACACGGGTGTCAAACTTACAGCATCATGTTGCTGTCACGTGACATTTCACAACATTTTTCACATGACGCATCCCGCCTGCAGGCCACCAGTTTGACACCCTTGTTGTAGAATATATGTTTGGAAATAGTTTATTGTTGGTGGTGGCTGCATGTTACACACCAGTGAATGTTAATTATGAAGAATTTTCAGTGAGATTTGCTGCAGAAAACTGTGCAGTATTCTGGCTGCATATGATTTAGGACAGTGTTTTTCAACCACTGTGCCGCGGCACACTAGTGTGCCGTGACATAGTGTAAGGTGTGCCGTGGGAAAAACACTTTATATAT